CTTCTTCTCCTTCTCCTCCTCTTCCTTCTTCTCCTTCTCCTCCTTCTCCTTCTTTTACTCTTGTTCTTACTATTATTGTATTACCATTTGCATGTCGTTCCTTTGAAATGCTTGCTTCTAGTTGGTACTTTTCTTTTTGGTTTTTGAGACAGAGTCTCACTATGTAGCCCAGGCTGGCCTGGAACTCTTGGCGATCCTCCTGCCTCAGCCTCTTGAGTGCTAGGATGACAGGGGTGAGCCACCATGCCTGTGTCAATATTTTAATTTCTGATTTCCTACTTAATCTCCAAAGGACAAAAGCACAACCAATATAAAGATCACACCATTATGTGTGACTGTGTGCTCCAACCACTGAGCACGGGAGTGGGTGCTATAGGCTAAAGAGGTGAAGAAAGCAGAAATGGAACCAAAGGCAGGAAGGACATCTTGCAATTCCTCTCCTGACCCAAAGCCACAGAGCTCTTCCTTAACATGCTGCCTCAGGGTGACTGCAATTTCAGCTTCTGGAAAACAGGGCTCAGAGTTCACCACGCTACATCCCCAGCTGCTGGAGCTACATCTGGCTAGGTCTGGGATCTGGGCGGTGTAGGGAGAGTCCAAAGCACCTTCCTCTCCAGCAGTGAGAGGCCGCCCTCCTTGTCACCACAGGGAGGCTGTTGGACCCGGAAGTCTTTCCTGCTGGCATGGGCTGTCGTGTGAGGTTGCGTGTCAAGAGTGTGGGGCATTTGTGACACAGATCAGCAGAGTCCCCACTCAACCAGTTCCTCACTGCCACCTATCGGCTGCCTAACAGTTGCTGGCCTCAGTTTCCTGGTCAGGCAAATGGGATAAAGACTGTCCCACCCCACAGAATGGTGGAAAAATTCCCCAAAATGACGCAAATAAAAAGCACTAGAACCATGCCTGACACACGGGACGCATTCAGCCTGTGTCAGAAAACCAAAGCCACACATAAAAAAAAGAGAGGCACCTGCTCAGGTGTGGAGCGCAGGTAGCAGGCTTTCTCCCGGAGCTGCCTGCAAGTTCCACAATTAGAATATAGCAAGAAAAACACACTGAACAACATCTTTGTCATCATACAGGAGGAAAGTAAAATTTAAAAGTCAGTAAGCTCTTCCAGGCATGCAAAACTAATCAAACTACACAATCAGATCTTGTTCCTCCTAAACGAAAGATGCAAGCCTGCACTTCCCTCAGTGTGAGAGGAGGACCACACCTGGCAGTGGGGAGGGAAAGGCTGCAGCAAGACCTGCCTGCCTGCCTGGCCCGGGCCAATCAGAGCCCACGGCTCCACAGCACAGGGGCGACCTCTTCTTTCTTACCGCTGTGCCTTTCACTTCTGGCAGGACACTCACCCCGCCGGCCGCACCACAGTCTCCAAAGAAACTACTTCTCAGGGTAAGTACTTCGAAATGTAAAACTTCTCTTAGCACTTAAAGAAGAATTTTCTTTAAAAGTGATTTGATTTTCCTGCTTTTGTTCCTAATGTGTCGTGTTCTGACAAATGTTTTCTTATCTGCTTTTACATTTTTAACCACGTTCAATAATTATGTAGCAAGCATCGGGGTACAGGCTGTTCAAATCAGGGTAAGAGCTCAGCCTCAAATCGTCCTCAGATGCTGATTTAGCAAGAAACACATATGTATTTTGTGTTTATTAACTTGATCATTGACTTTTCTTTTTATCTCAACACATATCCGTGTTTATGCATGCTGGTCTAATTTCTTTGTGCTTTGAAAATATTTTGCTTTATCCACTGAAAATATCTAGCAACATGAGATGAGACTTTTATAGATTTGGCTCATGAATTGTAAGAATCCTTGAATTCTCATTGTGAAAGTAAGGACAACTGGCTAATATCAGAATTAAATTGTGGTACCGACATGTACAGAGGTGCTTCCTTCAGGGCTCTCCTCCAGTGCCTGATAATTTAAGAGCTTATGGCATAGAAATATTTCAGTCCAAGCAAAAAAAAAATGAAATCTAACATCAATATGCAGAAGAAAGAAGAAAAAAAATCTAAATAATACATATCTAGCATCTGGGTAAATTGATATTAATAATATTTGTTGATATCTGGATGATTCACGCAGTATAGTATATTAGTAATTAATTTTTGTTAAAATTAATTTTTTAATTAAGTTTGTTAAAATCCTGGGCTGTTCTCACGAGGACGGCGTTTCCAAACCCAGGACCCAGGTATTAGGTTGATGCTAACTAAGACTTGTGGATAAGATCCAGATGTTCAAACCTAGGGCCAAGCCCTGCGAGACCCCTCGTGCTAAGACTGTCCCACACCGAGAGCTTCAGGAGAAGCTGCCCGGCACTCGTGAGATGGCCAGTCAGGCCGTGTTCACTTCCTCTTGCCTCCTCCTCCCCTTTCCCGCGTGGCTCCAGCTTCTTCTGTTCCTGCTTCTATGGGGTCACAGGTGGCCTTGGGCAGGGCTGCCGCCGCCGCAGGACACCCTCACCAAGTGGGGCAGAGACTCCCTGTACAGTGGGTGCTCAGCTGCGTGTGTGCAGCCGTCGGTGACGGTGGACATGGTCCGGGGCTGAGGGCCAGGAAGGGGGCTGTGTCTGCCTGGGGAAAAGGACACCTTTTTCTAATTCTACCCCACCTGCCATGTGCTCCCCATGCGGGTCGGCGGGGGGGGGGGACACACCACGGTCACCTTTTCCCGGAGCAGCACCTCACAGGTGTCTGCTTACAGATGCCCAGTCCCCGGCACCCCACCTACATCACAGCTGCTGCCGTGGAGTCCAGGAATCCATGTGGGACACCAAGTGAGCTTGACAGGGGGGTGGCGCTCTCAGGAAGACAGGCGCAGCGGAAATGCCACCCCGCTCTGAGGGTTCCAGAAAGTTATTTTCTTCTCTACTTCCTGTTGAGCTACTACCTTGAGTGACTAAAGACTATCAGATACCTCGTGGGTGAACCACAGGCAACTGCAATGGTTGGGAATACTTGATATTTTGTTGAAACAGACCTAAAATTTTGGAATGGTCTCAGAGCTGCATGAGAATGTGCTGAGTGAACCTTTTGCTTTCTCCTCTCTGTTTTCTTTTTGTTTTAATCTTTTAAAGTTTTGCAGTACTGGAGTTTGAACCCAGGGCCTTGGGCACGGCAGACATGCACCCCTTCCACTGCACCACACCCGCAGCCTCTCTGCCGGGACCTGGAACCCTCCAGGAGGGATTTCCTCCCAGAAATAAATCTCTTCTGAGCAGTTAAAGGCCTTTTTCAGAATACCCTAGTGGTGACAAACGGCAGTGCTGGATGCTCGGTCCCTCAGCCTGCTGTCCTGGGTAGAGCTGGGGCAGCCTCACCCCGGGAGACCTTCAGTGGAGGGGAACTGCTCCCTGCTCACCCCAGAGCCCCAGTTAATCCCCAGTCTCCCGCATTCCAAAGAAATCAACAGTAGGGAAAAAAAATAGAAACGGCCAATTTTCACCGTTTGCTGGTACCTGCTTGGACCACCACTCGGCAGAAAGGACACTTTCTCCCATGCCCTGCAGTGATAACCAGGCATGTCACAGACCAGACCTCGAAGAATTCCCGGAGAATGGTGGGGTCCCCAGCCTGTGCTGTGGAGCTGGACAGCAGCCCGTGACTCCGCAGGTGCCAGAGCGCCCAGGCAGGCGAGGGAGACGAAGGACAGTTAGGTCGCTGCAGCCCCGTGCTCGTTCAGAAGTCTCTGGGTGACTGTTATCAAAACCGCAGTGTGGGCTTCCTGAAAACAAGTCACAGGAACACGCTCTTCCTGTGATGGAGGTCGGGGAAAGGCTGCCACTCGCTGTGGGCCGGGCCCAAGGGGGGCCCGGCAGGGGTGGCGGGGTCAGGCCTGGGGCTCTGCCCTGAGATCCGCACTCCCCGTGCATCTCACACGTTATAGAAATTATACAGTGGGAAATGTCTGCCAGCCAGGCGCCCAGACAACCACTCAGCACAGCCTTTTGCATAGTATTTTTTCGGGCATTTCATTATTAGAAAGCAATGCAAAAAACGCCCCCAAAACAGTGGCAGGAAGCCATTGCCCCAAATGAGGTTTCTCTCACTTAGCCCTGGAGTCCGGGTGCAGGGGGACCTGAGCTGGGCACTTGGAGGTCTAGGGGTCTCGGCCTGCCTTGCCCCTGCCGAACGGTTTCCACCAGGCACCGCAGGAGCCTGGTGGCCTCAGATTCAAGGGACAGGGCGCTGTGAGGGCCTCTGACCTCCCAGCAGTGACATAGCCCAGACCACCTCGGGCTCACTGCTGCCCTCACAGGACTTGCAGTGCAAAACGGATGAGCAACGAAACCGAGTTATTGCAGCATCCTCACTGCCTGGGCACTGTGCTTGCCCTGAGGGGTATGCGGGGTGAGGGCGAGGTTCCCCTGGGCTTCAGACCCAACGGGAGGGCCTGCCTCTGCCCGCCTGGTCTGCTGAACGCGTGCGCGTGCATGTCTGTGTGTGGTACAGGGGATAAACCTAGGGCCCTCACACTAAGCTACATCCCCAACCCTTTTTAGTTTTTATTTTGAGGCTGGTTCTCACTAAATTGCCCCAGTTGGGTCCAAACTTGTGATCCTCCTGCCTCAGCCTCCCAGTGTGCTGGGATTACAGGCTGGCTCTGAAAGCTTGACTTTATCAATGCTGGTGACACAAGCAACACATTGGCAACACAGGTGACACCATGGTGATCTTAGACCCTGTCTCCTGTGCTGCAGTGCCCTGCCTCAGTTGCACTTGTCCTTGGACAGCCTCCTAGGGCTTGGGCTGGCTGTCCTGGAAACCTGGAGGCTTTACACAGAGGGATCTAGCAGGAGGGGACACACAGGTGACACAGGTGCTGTAGCTTGGCAGGAGAATGGGAGGAGCTCCGCCCACCCCAGCCACCCTACCCCCATCACCCACCCTCCTGGCCCCACCCCCACCCCACACTGCCATGGAGGGACATAGTCTCCTGTCCCTCGGCCATAGGGCGCGTTGCGGTAGCCCGCTGTTTGCCAGTGACCAGAGGGCAGCTCTGGGTCCCCAGCCAGGCTCTGGTGCTGCGGGGCTTTGGCACCTCCTCTCTGCACAAACTCCCAGAGCACCATGCGGGAGCCCGGCTGCCACTGCGGGGATCGGAGTGAAAATGCCGGCACATAACAGTGCTGAAGCCCGAGTCGCCGCAGCCTTGTGCAAGCCACAGCTGCCGCGGAACACCTCCCCGCCCAGCCGTGGGAGACCCTGCCCTTGGCCCGCAGCGTCACTTCTTCCACGCAGCCCCAGGTGATTTACTGAAGAGATCTGCAAACTGCCTCCCCTTCCTACAGCATCTCCTCCTCCTAGGAAGCTCGTCCTCTAAATCATTCCCGAGAAGCCTGGACTCTCCAAGCGGCCCCCGGACACCCTCTCACCTAGGCACTGCAGTGCCCTGGCAAGCACCAGGCCCTGGGTTCAATCCTCGGCACTGAAAAGATAAAAATAGGTAATAGAGCCCGCTGCTCCACACAGACTGAGCCTGCTGGCCTCTCCCGCGAGGCGCCACAGGCCGGACTCGGAGTTCTGCTCACACCGCAGCCTGTCCCGGTCCGCAGGAGTGACTCGGGACCCTGCCGGAGTGGCTGCCCCTTCCCATGCCCCGCCATCCTCCGGGCCTCCTCCGCGGGCATCCGTCCCTCACCATCTGGGCTGGTGGTCCCAGGTCCCTGCTATGCACCCCTCTACTTTGTCTCTTGAGCTTACTTTCCTTTTCCGCTGTGCACATAATCCAGGCCAGAGATTAGAACTCACTGCAGGGGGCTCTAATACCTGGCATCATGGGGAAGGTCACTAATAGTAAGTCCCACCAAGTTTTCATTTTTGTCTCACAAGTGTTGAATTTATATTTCCTTAGTTTTGAGTGGGTTGAGGCATTTGGTCATTTAAGGGTCTTTTTTCTTTTTCTCTTTTTTCCTTGTTTGTGTTTTTATTTTTGTTGGTACGTGTTTATAGCACATAATGATTATACTCACGAGGATTTGTTTGGGTGTAGGTTTCTTTGGTGTTATGTTTTGGGTTTTGGTACTGAGAATTGAATCTGGGACTTTGCTGAACTAAGTGCTGAAAACATGGTGTTTGCATGCTGTACTCAGTAAGGGGGGGATAAACGGCTCTGAGCAGTATACTGAGCAGTATACTATTCCACACATACAAATACTAAGATGACACTTTGGGCTTCTTCTTTCTGTGTTTAAAAAAATCAAACTGAGATGACAGTCCGGAGCCAGATGTGAACCCCCCCCCCCCCGGGGTGGTAGCGACACAGCCAGGGAACTCAGGACCTTGCGCTTGCCAGGCGGGTGCTGTGCTGCAGAGTTAGAATTATATCCCCTGCCCTGCCGGACACCTGAAGCATCCCGGAGTGCGGCCATGTGGCGGAGCACCCAACACATCCAGCTTGGAGACCATTCCCGGAGCCCTTGCTGCCCTCTTTTTACTCAAGACAATGCCAAGCTAGCGGAGGCTGCCAGTCAGTGAGATCTAGAAAGAAGTAGAAAGTATGCAAAATAATATGAAAAATGGAAGCATTTGCTTTTTTTTTCTGGGGAGGCTGGCTTCAAACTTCCAGTGATCCTCCTGCCTCAGCCTCCTGATTGCTGGGATTACAGGTATACACCACCACACCTTGATAATTTGGCTATTTTTAAAATTGCTGGCTAGGAGTGGTGGCACATGCCTGTAATCTCAGGACTGGGGAGGCTGAGGCAGGAGGACTGCTGGGAGTTCAACGCCAGCCTCGGCTATATAGTGAGTTTAAGGCCAGCCTGGGCTACATAGACCCTGTCTCAAAGAAACAAAACCAAAAACAAGAAAAACTGCTTTCTTTATGTGGGAAAGAATATGAGAGAAAATGACATAATCACACTACCAGAGTATAGAGGGGCATCATATTTTTAACTTTAGTGTTTTTCCTTTTATGCTTTAAAATTGTGTGCTAAATTTTTTCTTTTTTCTTTTTTCTTTTTTCTTTTTTTTTTTTGGTACTGGGAATCAGACTCAGGGCCTCGCACTTGCCAAGCAGGTGCTGTGCCGCTGACCTACGTCCCCGGCCATGTGTGCTAGATTCTTAAGTGGCAACCTATTCCATCTGGTTCCTTGTATGTCCTAAGGGAGTCAAATACAGCCTCAGAGCTGCAGTCAAAGAGATGATGACCAGGAGCCTGACCCCGAGCTTACCAAAGACCTGGGGGTCTTCCTCCTCATGTCTGGTTGCCAACTTTAACTGAGAAAATAAACCATAGATTTTACAGTTCAACAAGCGGTACTTTCAAGGGCAACCTGAACCACATAGCAAGATCCTGTCTGAAACGAAACAAAGCGAAACAAAAGATAATAATTTCCACTTTGCAGAGCGGTTGTGTGGATGAGTCAGGTGGTGTGGGCCCACCGCAGGGCCTGACGCAGTGTGGAACCTTAGTGACCGCACTGGTGGTGCTGTATACAAGTGTTCGTGCAAATCAGCAGAAGAAATGGCCTAGCTGTGCTGCCACTCATTACGGCCATTTCCTCTGCCTATGCTTGATTTGCTACCGTTCATTAAACTTGTCTGCAGCTTTAGCTCACTTAATATTCTCAGCGAGTGAGTCAGGCGGGCAGGTCAGAAGCCACTCCATTCACAGACGCATCGTGAAAGAATGACACGTGACAGAAGTAGCTGGGGCGCAGGCTCAGAAACCAGGACTTGAGCACAGATATTCTCGGTCCAGACCTAGTTCATGTCTTATGACCCAACCCTGCCTCTCTTGAGGGAGAGAAGTCAGGAGTAAGAGGACAACATACACTTCATAGCCGGGTGCAGCGATGCACACCTGTAATCCCAGCTCTCTGGGAGGCTGAAGCAGGAGGATTGCAAGTTTGAGGCCAGCCTGGGCTACTTAAGAGACCCGGTCTCACAAAGACAAAAGAAAAAGAGTAAGAAGAAAAGAAAAGTAGCCACCTTGGTAAAAACTTTGCTGGAACCCACTGTCGTGGCTTGTCCTACTGCACAGTGAGGGTCTGTCAAGGCTTCCATGATGAGCGGCTACAGGATCCAACTCTAGTCGACTTGCAGTCCTGGGCCAGCTCAGATGCAGGAGAGTGGAGAGGACAGCCAATCAGAAACGAGTCCAAAAAAACTCAAGCAGGAGCACAGTGAAGGGGCACGCGAGAAAGGGTGGATGGGTTCAGGGTGGCGCCAGTTTAGACCAGCCCTCCACGATCCACTTCCAGCCGCTGCCAGGAGTCAGTCATTTGTTTCCCTGGCGCCTGGATACCCGCTCCCCTCTATAAGTAGCATAGGAACAGCCTGACCCCAGGAGAAGCGACCCGCAGGGGCCTCTGTCTGCTGAGGGTAGGGGATAAAAATACATCCTCCAGGATTAACAAGCAACTGCATCTAAATTGGAGACGGCCTTCCTCCAGCCGCTCTAATGCCAACCATTTCCTTTGCAGACCACAGCTCTGAAGACCACGCTCACAATGCAGACCCAGGTGGTTGTGACTCAACCTGGATTTGTGCGTGCACCCCAGAACTCCAACTGGCAGACGGGCATGTGCGACTGCTTCAGCGACTGCGGAGTGTGTGAGTGTGGGCGCCGCGGGAAGTGACCTGGTGTCCCACTCCTTCCCTTCCTCCCGCAGCGGAGGCTCCTGCCTTATCCCAGCACTTGCAGGCCAGCCAGCGTGTGCAGGCCTCACGCCAAAGGCGTGTGCTGGCTGCACGCCGGCCCTTTGTAGCCGCTCCCCTCTCTCCCTGTGTCACAGCAGAGAGAGATAACCCTCAAAGGACTCACTGACTCTAAGAACAAACAGTCTTAACCTCATAATAATACGTTAATGCAGAAACAGTTCAAGTTTAACTTGATTTTTTAAAAGAAGACTGTTGCTCACACACCCACCCACCTCGTTGCTCTGTAGTTGCAGGATGCCCAGGACGCAGTGGAAAGTGCCCCGGCGGTCTCTGCATGAGCTCGGGGAGGAACTACTTCCGTTTACACACATAGGTTCCTACACGATCAAAAATAAAGACTTCCGAGGGCAACCGGCTGTCAGGGGGAGAAATACCTCCGATTTGCCTTTCCTTTTCTGTCTCTTTAGAAGATCGCTTAAGTGGAATCACTCTGAGGTCTCAGCTAAGGGAGGCTGGAGGAAAGGAAGTTTGAAGTGGAACAGGGGTAAAAAAAGAAAGGGGGGACCCAGGTGCTTTGATCACATTTCTAACCAAGGCGCCAGCCCACCTCCAAAACCTCTGCTTCCCAATCTCTTCTCTGAAGTGGACAGAGGATTCTTAGATAAGGAAAGAGAATACATTAGCCTTTAACTCACTGGTGTAATGGAACTTTGGACTGAATCAAGTTAATAATTAGATCAAGACTAACGGGATAGGAAAATGACCTAAGGAAGGGAGCAGGGGTTTGCGCATCCTGATAGCCCCTAACGTTCCCGTCTTGGGACTTCAGTCCAGCATCTGCGGTGGAAGTGGGAATGAAGACTATTGTAGCAAAATTCTCTAAGGATAAACATTTACCCTCCACCCCTAGTACCCACTTAAGTGAATATGTAAGTTCCAACACAAGTTTAATCGCTGCCACGGGGGTGCAGGGCATGTAAAGCTGAGCAGGTCATCCTCGGAGCACACTGGTAGGTCCTCCTCACCTCCAGGACAGGAACCGCACCCTCACAGCTGGTCCCCTTCCCACCCTCAGCTGCACCCCGTTCTGTGTGGGGCTCAGCCACACCGAAGGAACCCCGCCTTGGGGACACTGTGCCAAGCGACCCTGGGGACCGTCCTCCCTCCATGCGCCTTCCAAACCCTACTGTCCTTCAGAATGGGGGCAGCAGCCTGTCCTCGGGGCCTGGTGCGCGCGGTTCCCGGGGGTGACCCCGGGCATCTGAGCACACAGCCCTGGAGTGCTGCCCTGTTGTGTGCCCCGGAGGCCGGGCCAGGGGTAAAGTCTGGGACACAGCCAGGCTCCGGGCGAGGCACCGATGGACGGTGGCGGCGTCGCTGTGAAGCGCGCACGCTTGCTAAGGCAAGTTACTCCCGCCGTGCCGCGGGAGGCGGTGGAGTGGCTTGGCCGCCCCGGGGGTGACGAGGACCCCAAGGTGTGGGCGGCGGGTCCCAGCCCCGCCGGGCAGAGCCGTGACTGTGCCCCACTTGCGTGTGTCCAGGTCTCTGCGGCACGTTCTGCTTCATGTGCCTGGGGTGCCAGGTTGCGGCCGACATGAACGAGTGCTGCCTGTGCGGGACGAGCGTGGCGATGCGGACGCTGTACCGGACCCGATACGGCATCCCGGTGAGCGGGCGGGCGGGGCTCTGCGGCGTGCGCGGCTCTGTGCACGCCCGCGGGCACGTGCACGCGTGGGGCTTTGTGCACGCCCGCAGACACGTGTGCGCGTGGGGCCCTGTGCACGCCCGCGGGCACGTGCGTGCGTGGAGATGAGCGCAGGACAGAGAGGGAGAGTTCTCCAAAGGAAGCGAGTCGCAGTAGATTTTGGGTCCGAACCCTGCAGAGTAGCCAGGAGACCAGAGACCCGGGATCAGGCACAGGCGGTGGCTAGAAGGATTTCTTCTTGCTCAAGGACGATCATTCTTTAAAAAAAAAAAAAATCTGTCAAGGTCTTCATCAGCCGCCCACGGTATGGAGGCCCATATGATTTGCTCGGAGGTCATTGATTTAAAAATCTCATCCAGAGCACATCTTCAAGAAACAGCCACAATAACGTGGAGTCAAATACCTGGGTACCCAGCCAAGCTGGCAAATAAAATTAACCACCACAGCAAGTGAGGGAATCTGCAAAATACAATTTCTTTTTTCTGAGACAAGATCTGCCATGTCATGCAGGGGGCCTTGCTTTCACTATGCAGCCCAGGCTGGCCTCAAACCTGCAGCAATCCTGCCTCAGCCTTCCCAGTGCTGGGATTACAGATGTGCGCCACCACACCCAGCTGCAAAAAATAATTTTAGAAACTTAGTTTGTTCCACTGAAATTATCTTACTTTTCACTTAAAATTTATTTTTTAATTATGAAAATGCATGCTATAGGTAATTGTATGGCAAATTCCAAAAGAACTATGTAAAGAAAGGTGGAAATTGAACCTCTTTCTAACCCAATTCCACTCCCTAGTGATAAACTCTATTTATTTGAGGTGTACCCTCATTGGGATTTTTCCTGTATCTGTACTTCATGGAAATATAGAATAGAGGCAAATATAAAATTTTGGGTTTGGGACGCTCTTTTGTTTTTATTTTTTAAAGTGGGTTCATGCTATACTGTAACTTTTTTCCACTTAATTTATGCCAGACCCCTTTCATGTCAGCATACTAACTCTCTTTAAAGATAGCATAGTACTCCAACCTAGAATTTAACCATTTCCTTTGATGAAAGGTTAAACAATGTTATATTTTAAATGGCTGACATATATTATTATTATGCACCTGCACTAATTTTTTTGTGGCCTAGTATCCTAGATCACAAGGTATACACATTCTGAAAAATACTACCAAATTTCCTCCAAAAAACCTTGTATAAATTTGAATATATTATCCTTTATATAAATTTACTAATACTATATAGTAGATTTTAAAATTTTGCCAGAGAGGCAAAAGTGATATCTCATTGTTGTTTTAATTTAATTTTCATTAGTCAGATCAGGAAACTTTCAGAAGCCAGTCAGAAGCCAGATGTGGTGGTGTAGGCCTGTAATCCTAGCACTTTGGGAGGATGAGGCAGGAGGACCTCAAATTCAAGCTCAACCTGAGCAACTTAGCAACTTAGTGAGATCTAGTCTAAAAAAATTTTTTTAAATTTTATTTTATGGAAAAAAGCTAAAACAAAACTTTATAACAGAACAATAGGAGAATAACAGTAGTTAATACATTGTATATTGTTATCTGTAAAGAAGTTATTCAGAGGGCAAGATACGGGCAGCAGAATTTTCTCCACTCGATATTAGCACAACCCCTCCCTTGCAGTGAACTAAGAGGCATAATAGTATAACTGATTTGGTTTTTTTCCTAAAAATTTTTTAAAACTTAAGAATAAAAGAAAAAAAGGACTACAATATAGCTCGGCAGGAAGGCTTTGGTTTCAGCCCCTGATGTCTCAAAGAAAGAGAGAAAAAAACTTTTAGAAAGTCTATTTTTTCATATTTCCTGTCAGTTATCTATATATGTTCTCTATATATCTATATATATTGTTTCTTGTGGCATGCCATACACATCCATGTGAGCTCTTTATTATGATATTCTTAATGTGAACATTGTCAAGATTTTATTTTTTAATTTTTTTTGTCTTTTTGAGGCAGGGTCTCCCTATGCAGTTCAGGCTGGACTTGAACTCACCTTGTAGCCCAGGCTGGTCTTGGAGGATCTCAACGATCTCTCAACGATCCTCCTGCCTCAGCCTCCTGAGTACTGGGATTACAGGCATGCACCACCATGCCTGGCTCAATTTTATTTTTTTTTAAGTGCAGAATATATTTATTGAGGGAAACAAAGCTTCTGTCCAAGAGAGAGAGACAGAAAGGGGGACCCGAGTGGGTTGCCCCCAGTATCAAGATTTTAAAGACACTAAACAGTCAGCTTTTAAAATGCTCCTTGGGGCTTTGAAAAATTAACTGATATCTGAAATGAAAACTTCATCTAGTTTTAATAAAATTTGGAAAATTGAAAAGTAGAAGAAATAAAAGTATTCTAAAGATCTTATTTTATTTGACATTGATAGTGAGATATAAATTGGGGGTAAAACCTTAATGTAATCATGAATCAGATAAAAAAGAAGTTGTGACATATCTGAAAGAGAACAAAAGGAACCAGGAAAGATTCATTCAACAAAAAGAATCCACAAGTCCTCATTGTCCTCACCCCCCGCCCCCCCGGTCCCCAACTACCCCTGCCTGCCCCAGGCCCTGCTGGTTCTTGCTCTGAGCTCAGGGTTGCTCCTGCACCGGCTGCCCACCCACCGTGTTAGGTTTTCAGGTTCCCGGGCTCTATGTTGCTTCCTGCACCCCTGTCATCCCCACTGCTTTCTATTCCCCCCAAACTGAGCATCTCTGGCTCATTCAATGCCACCACTTCCTGTTCTGTTTTGGTTTTTTTTGTACCGGGAATCTAACTCAGAACCTTGAGTTTGCCAGGCAGGTGCTTGTGCCGCTGAGCTATATCCCCGGCCCCAACAAATCATTTTTAAATCATTTAATTTTGCAAGGTTTGTTAAGAAAAACCGCAGTCCTCAAATTTCTCTCTCCTTCCCAGGAACAGATTTTTGCACCGAATCACAGACTTGTGTTGCTGCTTCCTGACCTCTTGGTTTGGGGCACTGTTTATTTACCTCCCGCCACAAAAGATGAGAATTTAGCTTTGTTTTCTTCCCACCCCGACTACACCCTGTCCCAACCCACTCAGTCCCACGCAGCTGACAGGTCGCATTTATGTTATGAGTCTTACACTTCACTGAACTTCAGAGTTGAGTCATGTTGTGACCATGATTGATTTTCTGGCTAAACTGTCTTTTTCTTGGTATTAGTAGCTATGGTTGCCGGATGTGGTGACGCATTCCTATAATCCTGGTGCTTGGGAAGCTGAGGCAGGAGGATCACTGTGAATTTGAGGCCAGCCTGGGCTACATAGTGAGTTCAAGGCCAGCCTGCACTACCCAGCAAGACTCTGTCTCAAAAAACCCCCAAAATATAAATAAATATTGTTTTATTCATGAGTGATTTCTCTCCATTTACTTATGATACCTTAGTCCCAAATTCTTGGCTAGTTTTCTAAATCTCTTCCCAAGGCATGCAACTCACCAGCCTGCCTAACATGCTCATCTTCCCATGATGTCGCTCCCTGCCTGCCAGCCCTGAACGGCTGGATTTGAACCAGTAGCCTCAGGCACGGAGAACCTTGGGAGGGCAGAGTTCTGAGCTCTTATTTCCTGCAACTCTTTATCCTGCCTGCACACTGGTACTTTGTTTGGAGGGACTATAAAGCACAAGAAAACATTTTGGATCATAAAAAGAGATGAGGGGCTGGGGATTTAGCTCAGCCTGCCTGGCAAGTGCAAGGTCCTGAGTTCGATTCCTGATACCGGAAAAAAAAAAAAAAAAGAGATGCAAGTTCTATGGAAAAACCAATGGACGTTTTGCTAAATGCATTCACCCACACCGCACCCCGAGGCACAGGCGCTTGCTTCGCTGCAGGAGCCTGAAAATCACTGTGGTGGATGTGCCTCACCTTGTTGCTCTCGCTCTCGCACAGGGCTCTATTTGCGATGACTTCATGGCGACCTTGTTCTGCCCCATTTGCACACTTTGCCAAATCAAGAGGGACATCAACAGGAGGAGAGCCATGAACGCCTTCTAAGGGACGACGGTGAGTCGGCACAGGGCCGCGGACCTGTAGGGCGTGGAAATGGAATTCAGGGCTTTTGCGTTATTCCTCCAGCCTCCCGAGGTGCTCTCGAGCAGCTGAGTCTTTCAACGGGCTTGAAGCAAGGTGCCTTGGCAGTGCCGACTCTGGATCGGACCCTGCGTCAATCTCCGCAACGGAGCTAGCCAGGAAGTGTCCGCAATGAGGAGACTGAGGGAAGGGGCTCAGGATAATACGTGATGTGTGATTCAATACATGGAGACCGCCCCAGCACAAGAGAGAGACAGCTACTACCCCAGCAGCCTGGGCTCCATCTGAAAACAAAAAGGGGCTGGGGATGTAGCTCAGTGGGAAGGCCCTGAGCTCAAAAAACAAATGAAAGAACAAGAAGGAGGGCCAGGGATATAGCTCAGTGGCATAAGCACCTGCCTGGCAAGTGCAAGGTTCTGAGTTAGATTCCTGGTACCAAAAAAAAAAAAAGAAAGAAAGAAAGAACAAGAAGGAAGAAAGGAAGGTAGGGAGCAAGAGAGGAAGGCAGGAAAGAAGAGAAAGGAGTAAAAGGAAAGGATAAAGGAAGGGAAGAGAAAAGAAAAAATAGAGTGAAGCCAGGTGTGATGGCACACACCTGTAACCCCAGCACTCAGGGAGGCTGAGGCAGGAGAATTCCAAGTTTGAGCCCACATTGGGCAAGACCCTGTTTCAAAATAAAAAATATAAAATGCCTGGGAAGTAGCTCAGTGCAAAGATCCTGAGTTCAATCCCCATTACTGTCAAAGACAGACAGAGAGGAGAAAAAGAGACAGAGAAAGAGACAGAGAGAGACATAGGGACATAGGAACCAACTAAAAAAAATAAAAATTAACATTGGAAAATAGTATTGACAGCAAAGAAGTTGCAGGACAGCCTCTGTCTGGGAGAAAAGTGCCATCTCCCACACAGGAGCCCAGCATTTGAGTGGACACTGCCCGACCCCTTTGAAGCACAGCATGGAGAGTGCAGGGATGGATAGCCAGGACTCAGTGGACTCGCTCAGCCCAGGAGCAGAACCGGTGTTTGAGTAACAAACCCTGTGATATGTCCCCGGAGTGAGGGGGCAGGAGGGCTTGAGCTAGCCCACCCAGGCACGTTCTGCAGAACCCTGAGCCGAGTCCCCACACGTCAGCGCTGTTACGACCCAGCAAGTCTCAGCCACTGCAGTTAAGACTGAGTACAGCGTGGCATCTGGAACGGGCCCTGGGCAGAAAGGGATCCCAGGACGAAGCAGGAGATGGAAGAAAGTATGGTTTGATTCAAAACAACTCATCCATGCTGGTTCCTTCATAACAGCAAGCCTGCCCAGCCACATGTGCTGCTGTCCCGCGGGAGACAGGTGCAGGGTCAGGGACTCCGTAGCACCCGGGCCGCTTTCCTGAGAATCTGCTTCTACAAACCAAAGTTCACTAGAAATAAACAAGCTGACTGGGAAAATTCTAAACTATTCTCTGTGTGTCCCTTCTAGGTGCAGAGCTACCGCTAAGGCAGCTGAAACCACCAGACGTCTCTCCTCGGCCTGAAGATCTGTCTATCCTTTGTAACTGAAATATGATGGATATTTTTAATGAGGATAATGGCATAAAAAATCAGATTTTTTAAAATGAATGCTGTCTCCTAGCTTAGTTTCTCTTTCAGTGTCAAAATTCCCAGCTTCTATATTTCTTTATATTACTTCTTTTTTTTTTTGAGATAGGGCCTTGCTGTGTAGTGTGGGCTGGCCTCAAACTCATGGCCATCCTCCTGCCTCAGCCTCCCAAGTGCTTACATTACATTTCAAATAAAAGATTTTACTAGCGAGATCCTTGTTTTGTCTTGCTTTGTGTGTGTGGTACTGGGAATCGAACCCAGGGCCTTCTGCATGGTAAGCAGGTGCCCAGTGCCCGGACCCCTAGGGAGACTCTTTACGCTTGTTAGTTGTCACTACATGTCTTGGCCGCTGGTACGTCAGCTCTTTCATCCACAAGTGTTAGGAGAGAGATAAAAAAGACCCTAGACACCTGCTCTGTGACCGGGATGGGGCATCAGTCACACCTGCTCCTTTGCCTGTCACTCCTCAGCCCGCTAGCCCGGCCAGCCTTAAAGTGAGAAACGCCGTCCATCCAGATAGGCTGGCCTTAGTCTACCCCTGGCCCGCACGCAGCCGTATGGGGGAAGTTCAGTCTAGCTGCTGCCTAGAGCTGATGCTAATGGTGAAGTTATCAAACACATGACTGCCAGCATTCAAGGGTTAGCCCATGTGCCAGTCCAAAGGTGGAAAGGGTGGCACCCAGACAGCCTCTTCGGAGGCTGGATTTCATCTTTTGGAGGGCTCAAGACTCTCACAGGAAGAGCCTTAGCCGTCCTGGGAATTTGTCTCATCTTCCCTTGTTTATGGCCCTATTTGTCAGACGCAGTCAGCTAGAGCGGCCTGGGTAGACAGACACTGTTATGGTCTGACAGTTCTGACCAGGCACCAGTTCTGATCGGCCCCTGCCCGATATAGCCACTCCGACACCAGTGCAAACCAGACGCTGGCGAGGCTCTACTGGAACTTGCGTATAGAAAGCGTCAAAGGGGGGAATAAAGCAAAACTTAGAAATCAGTTTTCTTGCCTCCTAGCCTTGAGCGGTTCCCCTCAAATGCCTCCCGCCTGTAGCCGTTGACCTCTGAGTCCTGTGACATTCTGGAATCTGTCTTCTTTCAAAAGACCCAGATAAGGTCGCTAAGTGTGTTCCTGACGTCCCGGAATTCCTGAAATCTGTAGTTTCAAGGCTAACTTGTAAGCCTGTCACTGGTAGACGACTGCCTTCTGTGAACTCGCGTGCCCTTCCAGGCCCAGCCCGCGTGTGGCCCTCCCAGCAAGGGGCCTCCTGCCAAGAGGCCCAGGGCCTCGCTTTCCGACCGCACACCGAGGGGTTTGTCCCTTTGGTTTTCTTTTCCTTTTGAATATAAGGTGTCAGAGCAAGTAATGAAAATTTCATTATCAAACTCATGACTCAGTTTTGGTTCAGTATTGATGGGTAAATGTGTGAGGCAACCATTGCCACATTTTCTGTCCTGTTGGTCCTCCCGAGCTGAGTTTCCATGTCATCCGTCGGGGTGCAGGAGGCGGAGGAGGAGGCAAAGCTCGCTGCCTTGCAGATGTACTGCGAAAGTCCAACAAGACGAAGCATCAAAGTCCTTGGGGTGGAGGGCTTGGGAAGGGGGTGCATGCGCTTTACAGGCCTCTCCTGGTCCAGTCCGGTCGGCTCCCTCACACCGTGGGGTCCCCTTAGGCAACCAGTGCTGTCCTCTCCCAGGGCGCAGGGAGACCAGAGCCTGCGTGTCCAAGTCCTGCATGGCAGGGGCTGTGTCCCAGCTGGGAGTCAGGGCCACGGCCGCCACACAGCACACTGCCACGCCGTCGGCACAGGCAGGGTGGCCCTCAGGGCATCAGTGGCACTGTCTTCCTAAGCATGCCAGGAGGGACACGACCCTGACCAACCACCTAGAACACCGCTCCTCAGAGTGAGACCCAGGCGCTCTAGGGCTGAATCTCTAACACAGTTAGAGATGCAGCAACGTGGCACGCGCGGCCTGCAGGTTTGCCAGGGGCCAGCGTGCTGCAGGGAAGAACATAGCTTTCCTCACAAACCAAGTCCATCTCGATGCCGCCTCCCACCCCCGCACCTTCTTCCCTCAGGCCCAGCAGTGTCACTTACCCAGATGCTCAAGGTCACATCTAGAGAGCACTGCAGGGCAGTCCCCATTCACAGCCCCAAACGTCTCTTCCTTTTTTTTATTTGTACCAGGAATCGAACTCAGGACCTTCCACTTGGAGGCAGGCGCTTGCACCGCTGAGCTAAATCCCCGGCTCTTCCTCCTTCTGGTTCCTGCAGTTCCCCCGCCTCCACACTCTGCTGCCTGCCCGAGTTACCTGGCCCACGGTCTAAGAAGCAGGCTCCAGCATCTCCCGGATCCTTCCCAGGGCTGCCTCCGTTTATCCCCTTAGCCCACTCTCTTGCCATTCTTCCTGCAAAATTCCCGGTTTCCCCCACCTTTATCGTACACGTTCTTAGCATGTTGAATCCCAACCACTGGTTGCTATAACCTGGGAAGGAACTGGATTTGGGACACCAGCCTGGGATGCTGGGGCCAGTCCAGGGGGATTTTTCATTTTGTTTTGTTTTGTGTTGTTTGCTGGTTCTCTGCAGTTTTCTATGTGGAAAATCACGACAGCTGTGAATGACGATCGTTCTACTTTTCTCTCCCAATTTGTGTAAGCTTTTATTCCCTTTCTGGTCTTACTAATGTAGCTAGGAATTCCAGTAGCATGTTAAATAAGTGATATAATAGTGGCCTCACTCCCAAAAGTGAGGTGAAACACGTATCTGTCACCATGCAGGAAGGAATTAGGGCCAGGCATGGTGGCCTGTGCCTATAGTCCTGGCTACTCAGGAAGCTGAAGCAGGAGGACTGCTTGTGGCCAGGAGTTTGAGACCAGTGTGGGTGACACAATTGAGATTTGTCTCAAGGAAGCAAATAAGCAAACGAATAAATGTGATCTCTTAGATGTAGGGTTGTTTTTTGTAGATGGTCTTTATCAAGTTGAAGTTCACCTATATTCCTAGAGTTTTTATCAAAATGAGTCTTGGATTTTGTCAGATGCTTTTCTGTATCTATCAATAGTCATATGATTTTTTGTTCATTAGCTCGTTAATATGATGCTTAATCAATTTTGTAATGTGGAACCAGCCTTGCATACCTAGAATAAATCCCACTTGGTTATAGTGTATAGGGTGTTTTTGGATTTGATTTGCTTCTATTTTGTTAAGGAACGTTGCACAGGGGCTACAGCTTTCTTTTTTTGTTTGTTTTTTGAGACAAGGTCTCACTACGTAGTTCAGGCTGGCCTCAAATTCTAAACGATCTCCTCTCTGCCTCCCAAGTGCTGAGATTACAGGCATGCACTGCCACACCCGGCTCAGTTTTCCTTTATGTTTTTATCTGGTTTGATAAGGCTGGCATTAGAATGAGTTAAGATGTGTTCCCACTGCTTCTATTTTTGGGCAGTGATTGGAAAGAATCGGTCCAATTCCTTTCTTAAATATTTGGTGGAATTCACCAGTGAACACATCAGGAGCTGATACTGTTTTGGCAGGATATTGTTCATTGACTTCTTCAACAGATCTAGGCCCATGCAGGTCGTCTGTGTGATTTTGTGTGAGGGGTGACTGTCTTTCAGGGAACTGGTCCGTTCATTTGGTTATTAAAGTGTGGACATACGACATTGAGCAGCTCGTAATACTCCTCTTACTATTCATGGCATCTGTAGCATCTGTAGTGATGACCTCTCTTTCATTTGTGGTATTATCAACTTTTGTATTCTTTTTATCTTAACCTGTGTAGAGGCTTGCTAATTTTATCTTTGTAAAGAATCAGCTTTTGGTTTTACTGATTCACTCTATTAATTTCCAAGTTTCAGTTTCATTGCTTTTTTATCTCATCTGCTCTCATCTTTAATGTTTTTGTTTTTTTCTTTTGTACCTGGAATCGAACTCAAGGCCTTGGGCTTGCCAAGCAGGCGCTGCACTGCTGAGCTCTATCCCTTGTCCTGCTCTTTTTCCTAATTGCGTGGTGAGCTTTTTTTTTTCCTGATCTATGCAACCAGCGCTGTAAATTACCCCCTAAGCACTGCTTTGTTGTATTCCCCAAATTTTGACAAATTGTATTTTCATTTTCACTAGTTCAAAGTATTTCAGGATGGGGCTGGGGATTTAGCTCAGCGGCACAGTACCTGCCTGGCAAGCGCAAGGTCGTGAGTTTGATTCCCGGTACCGGAAAAAAACAAAACAAAAAAAAGTATTTCAGGAGGGGGAAGACAATGAAACTGTCACAGCCTTGACGCAGCACACAGACAGGCTCTATTATCATTCCAGGTAGTGAACTGGTAAAACAGCAGCACGGTATGGTCCTCAGCCAAAAGCTACGGTGCGGGGGCTGGGGATTTAGCTCAGTGGCAAAGCGCCTGCCTGGCAAGCGCAAAGTTGTGAGTTCGGTTCCCGGTACAGGAGAAAAACCGAAACCAAAACAAAAAAAAAAACAAAAGCTACAGTGCTGTGCTGGGGGAGGAGCACTGCATGTCACAAAGGCTGACATGGTCCTGGGTAATAGGGGCGCTGTCCCACCTACCCTCCTCCAAAGGAGTCACAGCAGCATTGCTGACTTTCCTGACAGTGCTGCTGCCACGGAATTATCTCAAAACACCATTGTGAATTCAGGGGGCTAAATAAGCAGTGCCGGGTTTAGGCTTCTATTACATTTTGTTCTACGGGAACTAATTTCTTCAAGTTGAGCACTTCACAGCCCTCTCAAGTAGCCAACCGTTCCTGCTTTATGATTTATCCCCGGTTAACAGCGCATCTATCACAAAGCCTTTAACCTCCGAGGGCAAAGCGTCACTGCAGAATTGTGGGGTCACAGCTGCAAAGGGCCTGTGGGCCCATAAGCCAGTGAGGGAGGCGGACTTCCACAGCGTGACACCATGTGACGCTATTTTGCATTGGTGCAAAGGTGGAACAAGTGTGAGGAGGTCAACTGCACACCGTACTTGATGGCTGACGGGCAGACGCAAGACCTCTCAGCTC